ACATTGTAGATAACTAAAAGTTAGGGAACTTTTTACTTCATATACGTACTCCTCGTTAATACATTTCTTAGGATAGCAACACTTTTGGTCCATTGACCCTGACTTAAGAGTTTCACCTACTTGATCGGATGAGACCGTACAAACCGAGGTCCCGTGTCGCAGTGGGTGCTGGCACGAAAAAGATCCCTCCGTGCTCAATGGCCCAGAGTGCTGAGTAAAGGACAAACTTTGAAGCCCCGGAAAGTGGTGGCGTCTCCATTTAATTAAAAAATTCTCAAGAAGGACGTTAAAACAACACACGAACAAACGGTACCGCCTTAAGGTATTCCTGGATAATTTCAGAAAGCATGATTGTGTCGGGGAGACATGTCAGTTAAGTTTTTCACCCATTCTCAATATAAGGGCTCAAATAATGTCGCCTCGTTTTCATTTAGAAGAAATACCACTGATGTAATTTTTAAATCAACATCATAAATAGTCATATAACAATGAATAAGAATTCATATAATTATCGATCTGAAAGGGTATTTAAGGAGTTCCAAATTCAAATATAGTAGCCTATTTGAAATGTACGTTACTGTCGCCGAGGCAAATATTATGCTGAATCCCCTCTGTGTAATATATAGTTTTGTTTCTCAAGTAAAAATTTTCTGATAAGTTAAACCCTGTATCATATATATTTCTTTTCATAACAATAAATACATTTTCTTTGTGATAATAAATAATTTTTATTGTGCAATGTCCCTGTCGCTTAATTCTATTTCAACCACATTACAAGCAAACACAAAGATTATACACCTGATAGTTTTGTTCTCCTTTATTTAATGATGGGCTAAGTTTGAAATTTCAAAGGATTAATTACTCCTACTCAGATAATGTAACATGAAATTGAACAATTTGAGCAACTTTTATAATATATGTTTACGGAATGAAAGACATTTTCAATCGTAGAGATAAGAAAAAAATGTACGTTACCTATATTCTTCGATTAAGAATATATATTAAGTAGAAAATATGAGACGACTCTGAATAAGCAACCCCTTGTATCCTATAAACTGGCAAAGACGTTTTGCTTAACACAATTAAAAATTATTTTTTACATGAAAAGTGATCATTTGAAATGTACGTTACCATGAAATTCAAATTAAGTTAATCTTGCACGAATTTTCATGTATTCTCATACTTTCACACATTCGAATGTGTACACAAAGGAAAGTTTCAAAGGTTGGAGGTCGGCTAAATCCCAAAATTAATGAAAAGAAACGTTTCTGCTGAGGAAAAAAAATATATTAAGGTCAATTATATGTAATATAATTTTGATACCTGGTATATATTTCTGAATACGAAACCTGTATGATGCATTTCTTATGATATGCAAGTTCAAATAGTATCAATATATTGCGTGTCTAAAGTACGCTTGTGCAAGAGAATTGATTTTTATATTTGAAATGTACGTTACGTATGGTAACATACATTTTGCAGATTTCTAACTGACATTTTTTTTATTTAGTCAATGAATTGCGTTTACAAAATTAAAAAAAAAAAACAAAATTATCGTTACAATCCATTTGACAACTGACCACATAAATCCATCTAAATGCACCCCCTATCCTCGTAAATGTGGTAGACTGTTACCCCATGCTAGGAAATTTATTTCTAAGTGTCTTAAATTCATCTTTGACAACCTTTTTGCAGTTTGCTAACTTTTAATATGCGACTTTTCGTCAATATTAATTTAATTGATGTTGATAATTTAAAACAAGGTATGCATAGGCTTATAATTGGTAGAAAAAAAAAACAAAACAAAAGAAAAAGAAACAAAACAAATAAACCCAGAACACAAGACGGTCACGTACATTTCAAATACTGAAAGGCACACAATACTCAGTTTTGTTTGAATCTTTGCATTTTGGGATATATTTTTCCAGATCTGCTGAAAAGCACGTATGTTTGTGTTTTGACAAACGATGTTGCAACAAACTAAATGAAATTGTTAACAAGACTATCAATGGATATATTCGGAATAGATTTATGTTAAGTTTCAATGGCCAAATACGAGCATTTGTTAGATCATAGCAAAATACGTCTGACACTTATTTTTTTTTTGTCTGTACCCTTGCACACAGGTAGAAGTAACTAGGCTACGACTGGTGTCAATTTCAGCGAAACAGCATAAAAGAATGATTGAACTGAGGTGAAAGGGACTCCCCAATAATATGTGAAATGAACGTTACCGATGTGACGTGACATTCATGTAGTTGATGACAAATAACCTCGTTTGTTACATTATGATATCTTATATTACTGCGTTAAAACGCTTCATTGAAATGATTTTTATGTCAAAAATTGCTTTTTTTTCAATATTGTCTTATTACTAATTTACATATTATTACAGGCTTGAAATGTACGTTACCTACTCATATTCTGAAGCAATCGTGTCTTTATAGTGGTGATTGTGACATTTAACACAATGTGATTACATAGAGAATCTTTTTTGGAATAAACTGAAACAAAACGATGAATTTTATATGAATTTTAAGCTTTTTATGAAACGGAAATATATCTTGAAATGTACGTTACATTTACGTAGTTTTCTAAATCGGCATGGATATATGTTAAAAAAGACAGTAACTACAAAATAGAATTTTACTACATGTACATGTTAAGTTCCAGTATCTACAGAAAATATAAAGATTCCAAACTGATCGTTCTAAACAAAACAGAGAGAAGAATTTAAAGCATATATTTAAAAAAATGTTTTTATATATCTGGATCAAAAAGTAACCTTTGTTTTTTGAAAGGAAAAATCAAACGCACGTTCGTATGCCGAGAAAATATGTTGCTGACAGAGTTGGTAGGATGTGCTGGTGTTAAGATGAGATATTCCAATTGTGATTTTAATAACTACATTTTTTTGACATTTTTTTTTTGGACATTGAAGAAAGAGTAACGTACATTTCAAGCTACATTTCTGAATAAAAACACCCTCTACTTTACCGTCTTGTCATTATTCCATGTATAAATATTTGATGAAAAAAAATTTGGAAACAAAATCTTCAGATACTTTCTTTTAAAGGTAATTGATAGAAAAATTGTTATCTTGAACTTCATTTTTTAAAAAAATCAGAGAGGCATTTGTGCCCTTATATTGAGAATGGGTGTTTTATCATATGAAAATACATATGATCTGAAAATTCGTGTTTTATTGTATGACTGCACGTCAATGAATACAAACAGTTACTCTATTCTTATTAAAACTAAGACTGTATTTCTAAACCTGAAATGAATACTTAGCTTTTCTTATGTATCTTCATGAATCTTTCCGGCAAACTCGGAAAACCACGACAACCTCGGATATGGTTTATATCGGATGAGCTTGCCGGAAGAAGGCCTGAGAAGAACTGCTGAAAAACAGTGCCACAATAGAATATTTTAAACAAGGTGCTCATTGGTTCTACTGACTTTTTATTTTTCACCTCGAAATTGAATTTACAGTAAAGTACAGAATGTTTAAAGCATAGTTAGGAGTTATATACCATTGCCGACATGAAGCCTACTACTGAGTATTAGATTCACCATTCTGAATATTGTGACACACTCTCATCCCCTTAACTCGACGCCCACTGCACTTTCTGCCTTCCTATTTACAATTGATCGATTCATCTTTAACAATCTTCCTCTATGTTTTATTATGCAACAGTGCTAGCTTACTGATCTTTTTAAGAGAAAAGCTTGTTAATATTTCAACTGACTCCCAAATCATCTTTTACTTCCTTCCTATTTCCTTTTTGTATTTTATAGTGACATTGAGTAAGAAGATAAGAAAATCTTAAATCAAGGTAGGATTTACATCAACTTTTCAAACTTTTGAATTCTATCCCTTAACAGGTGAATTTAGGGTACTTAATACAAACAAAAAATTGATGCATGGATTGATATATATTTTCAAACTGATTTTGATTTGAAATGACATCAATAATAAAAATCTGTAATATAAAGAAACCTTAACTAGGTTTACCTGGGTGCTTAAATATGACACTTACAAAAATAAGTGCCGGAAAAGCAAATTAAAGTTTAAGGCAGCTTATAGCACACATTGTTATAGTCTATGTCAACTTTACGTGACTTTTATTAATAGCGTAAAACTCAAAAACTCATCTTGAAAATATGGCTTCGTGTTTTTTGTCAACGCGTGCAGAAGGGAGGAATGAACGAAGCAATACCGGTATCTTTCTATGGACCAGACTATAATTTTTTTACTCCATAAAGGTGTCTTTAGAGGGTCTGAAATTAGTACCTTATAAAAATTATTACTTTCAAAAATTTCAAAAAGAATCACATGGTCTACATCATTTTTTTAAAACTGATTTTGCGTCTCGCTTCATTTCAAAAATACATATAAAATACCGGTGATAAAAGCTGACTTGTCTCCGGAATTCGCTCGCAACGGCAAGTACATTGTAAATTATGTAATAGAGGTATGTAAAATTCAATTTTGGCTACATTTCATTTCTGGAATTTTTCTTAATTATCAACTTTTCATTTCCGACATTTTTTATTTTTTCATTTCGGACATTTTTTTGTTTTCATTTCCGACATTTTTTAAATACATATGTAGTACTTTTAGGAAGAGATCTGAAGACTTTTCTTATGAAAAAATTAAAGTAAAAAATAATAAATAAATCATTGAAATCCAATACACATGTATATGAGTTTTGTAAATCTATCAATGACTTAGACATAAGAGTGGTGCTGTCACTGACATTAAATTTAGTGCACATCAGATGTGGTGAAAAGGTTAATGCTCATTGAACTCTTAGCTTAGACTAAGTGCAACATGTATGCTACAATTTGCATATATGTGTAAATGTTTGTTTTTTTTAATCAATATTTTGTAATAAATACCTTTAAAATTCCATTCCAAATAACATTGAATTGCCGCACAAGTAAATTCCGGAAATGAAAACAAAATTATGTCGGAATTGAAAACAAAAAATGTCGAAAATATTTAATTTACATCCTTAAATTAATTTATGGAAAACATCTGACACGGCAGACCCATGCTAGCAATTAAGTTTCTTAATCGCAAAATTTCTTATCCGTTAGATTAAAGCAATTCTCGAAGATCTTTCTGTAAATTGGTATGATTTATATTCTCGGCCGTCGGATGCTAAGATATGCGCGCGGGTTCTCACGCCTTTCACCATTCCCTCACAGAACCTTGTCAGTGAACGCGCAAACAAAAATTCTGCTGTAATTTTAATTGTTGATCTCTTCATATCTATTCAATTGGGATAGAAAGGTATGGATTTTAATTTTGATGTTTATTTTCCTCGGCATGTTGGATCCCTATGTTCTTGAATTTTTTAATGTGGAACAGAACTAGCTTTTTTGGTGAAAGCATATATTTCAAAACAATGGTATCTATTCTGATTGCGGGATCTTCTCATGTAAATAGATTACAATCGTATATCCGAGAACATTGTGAATATGCTAACTTCAATTTATCCGCAACGGCGATTAATTATTTTGGAATAAGTGGTGGGAAATTATCATGTTCCGCTCATATAAATATGTTAGAAAGGAAAATCGCTGATCTACGTCCAGGTGTACTCATTTTACATATAGGAGGAAATGATGTTGACAATGTAACAGCAGATGAATCGTTTGTGAGGGAATTAAGCCTGCGCCTTTTATGCATCGCAGAAACTTTCGCATCACGCTACAATATTGCACATGTGAAAATTTGTCAGCTAATGCCTCGTTTTAGGACTCGGCTTTTAGACACAACATCGTATAATGAACTTGTGATCAAATTCAACAGAAAATTGAAATGTCTGCTGGTACAGAAAACGAGTGTGCAATATTGGAAGCTTAAAAATATTAAACACTCTAAATTTCCGATATTTTGTGATGGCGTTCACTTTAACGAAGAACATGGGATGATGATATACTATAGGAATCTACGTGGGGCAATATTGCACTCCTTGAAGGCTATCCAAAAGTGATGGCATGTTACCTTCACCATATTCATGTTATGAGATAAGTTTTATTTCAATTTTAATTTTTGTAGTAATTATGCATTCAAGATACATGTACTTGAATTTTGAATATCGATGTCATACCAAAAAATATTATGGTGTATAGAGTGTAGAACATTTTACGATAGCTGCTAGTCATTTGATGCACATGGCATCGTTTTAGTGATCTGTCACTATATATGCACTGTGATATGTCACAGTAGAAACGGCTTCTGCTCATTTTGATGCACATGGCATCTTGATGTTTGCGATATGTCGCTATGAGCTGTAATATGTACAGCTGAGCAGTTGCTTTTATGTTATGGCTAGCAGCTTATATGTGTGAAGTGTCGCTACACGCTGATGTATGGTACACCTGAGAATTATGCTCAAGTGTAAATGATCTGGCGCTTTGGCTATTTCTTGATTATTTTCCTTGTGATCTGTCATTATAGCTTATGGTTGGCCTCAGTGAATTGACTGCTATCGAAACTTTTGCACTCTTAAGTATTTAGGTGTCCTTGGTTGTCTATGGCACCATAAGGCTTGGAAAAATTATTTCCATTAGAAGCTTAATTTGGCGATCAAGGGCATTTTTATACTTAAAATTTTTTCATGTTAATATGCAAAGTCAATTCAACATGTATATAGGCAGATAAGGTATTGAACTATGAGTGTCTTCATTCTTAAGACAGGTGTCTCGTTTTGTAGGCCAAAATATGCCACCCAAAAAGAAAAGACCAAAGAGCACTACAACCGGGAACACACCATCCTCTGAGACTTCAGGCCCGGCAAAACGTCGAAAGCAGACAACATCAGCCTCTGTTGACATTGCCGAGCAGGTGAACAACGCTATACAATTAGCCCTGCCAAAAATCACTCAAGCGGTCCTTTCGGCAATGAATGATAAGAGCGAGGAGCACACAGATAAAGCTCCAGAGGTGCCTCAGGAATTACCAAGCACGTCCACGGAGCCGCTTTCCCAGGCTAGCGATGGTAACAGTTTTTCGCTAATACATACATCAGACAGTATTTCTAAACCCTTATCACTCGGGATTGACGCAAAAACAAAAGCAAAAATTTGGGCAAATGAATTTGTAAAGTTTGGGTCATTACTCAAGCCAAGTAAAAAAAACGTAAAATTCTCTGTAGAAGAAAAAGATGAAGGTTTGACTTTTGTTAAGGAAAACAATCCATGCAAAATTGAATCCGTCCAACAGTGGTTGGCAGCCTTTCATATTTTCGTCAGCATTTTTTGTGAAAAACATGTAAACGAGGTATCAAAATTAATGAAATATGCCAATATTGTCCAAAAGCTGGCTGATCAGTCAACTGCTTCGGCAGCAATCAATTACGATAAAACTTTTAGACAATGGAGAGAAATTTCTCCTGGGGAGCTTCAATGGGATCGCGTTAACATTGAATTGTATCAGGAGGCCTTAGCTGCCGGTTTACAGGCAAAGTTTAAATCAACATATCAGAAAACTACTTTTCGTCCCTTCACAAATATCAAAGGAAAAGGGGGTTACACAAAGTCATTCTGTTTCAACTTTAACAACTCCGAGCAGGGAATTTGCAACAGAAAGGAATGTAAATTTTCCCATTCTTGTCAGCTCTGCGAGGGAGAGCACAGTCGAAAGGTCTGTCCCACGTCCCTCAAATCAAGCGCAAATGCTAAAGGAAGACAAAGAGTTAGCAGTAATCATGGTCCGACAGAATTTACAAAGTCCACATCCAAATCAACAAAATAAAAATTTTGAAATTGTTACCCCAGTTAACCCTGATAGGTTACATGTATGGCTATTAAATTACGATATACCTGATAGGGAGTTTCTGGTCTTAGGTTTTAGAGAAGGATTTAAAATACCTTTTCAGGGTAAAAGACATCGCAGACTTAGCGACAATTTAAAATCCGCTAAGCAACATTTAGACATTCTTCAAGAAAAAATAAACAAAGAATTAGCCTCTGGTCGAGCTGCTGGTCCGTTTCAAGAACCACCATTTACTAACTTTCAAAGTTCGCCCTTAGGCTTAGTGCCCAAAAAGCAACCTGGCGAATTCCGGGTTATCCATCATTTGTCATACCCAGAAGGTCAGTCAATTAATGACGGAATATCTCAAGAATTCTGTTCCATCAAGTATCAGACAATTGACGACGCGGTTAAAATTCTTAAAAAGTATGGCAAGGGGGCTTTATTTTCGAAGACTGATATTGAGAATGCATTTAAAATCATTCCTGTTCATCCTTCAGATCACGAATTACTAGGCTTCACGATAGGAAGTTATTATTTTTTTGATAAAACTTTACCCATGGGTCTTAGTTATTCCTGTAATCTCTTTGAGAAATTTAGCTCATCACTTCACTGGGTTATGGACTATCATTACAATGCTTCCTGTGTACATGTTTTAGATGATTTTCTTTTCATTGGTCCAGCCAACACAAATCAGTGTTTAAATTCGCTGGAAAACTTTTTGAACCTGTGCAAAGATATAGGAGTTCCCATTAAATCTGAGAAAACAGTATATCCCACAACAACAATTACATTTTTAGGTTTAGAATTTGATTCAGAAAAAATGGAATTAAGATTGCCAGATGACAAGCTTCTCAAATTGCAAGAAACACTAAATAGTTTCAAAAGGAAGAAAAAAGCTTCACTACGCGACTTACAGTCTCTTATTGGCTTGTTAAACTTTGCATGTTCTGTTGTATTACCTGGCCGCACATTTCTCAGACGACTGATAGATCTCACCAAAGGCTTAAGATTACCGCACTTTAAGAAGTACTTGAATAAGGAAGCTAGGGCTGACCTTGAGGCCTGGTCAATTTTCATCAACCATTTTAATGGCAGATCCTTAATTTTAGAAGATAAATGGATTACTTCTGGAATATTATCCCTCTATACAGATGCAAGTGACCTTGGTTTTGGGGGTACTTTTCAAACGAACTGGTTTTGTGGGAAATGGCCTGAAAAGTGGCGCCAGCTACACATTACAGTCAGGGAACTATTGCCTATTATACTGGCCTTAGATTTGTGGGGCCCCGACCTGCAAAATTCCTGTGTTAATTTTTATTCTGATAACATAGCTGTAGTGTACATTATTAACAAACAAACTTCTACTGATCCAACTATTATGAAATTAATGCGGCGTTTTGTCGTCAAGACAATGCAGTTTAACATTTTATTTAAGGCAAGTCATGTCCCTGGTGTACTTAACGTTGCTGCAGATAAACTTTCTCGCTTACAGGTACAAGAATTCAAGGAGGGGTTCCCATCTATGAATCCAATGCCGACACCAATATCTCCAACAATGCTCAACCTTTGAAAAACCTAGCAGACTTCATTTTGCAGAGTTCACTTTCTAAAGCTTCTAGGTCATCATACGATAGAGCTTTTACATGTTATAAGTCCTTCATGTTCAACCAATATCCAAACGTCCCCATCTTACCACCATCATCTCAACATGTCGCACTTTTTGTAGCCTTTTGTTTTCAATCCAACATGGCGACGTCGACCTTGAAAAGTTATCTATCAGCTCTAGGATATATATTTAAATTAAAGGGCTATCAAGACGTAACACAGCTTTTTGTAATTCGCAAAATGCTACAAGGGTATGAAAAGTTAAAACCAGGTACCGGGGATACGAGGCTGCCTATAACACCGTCTATTCTAAGAAATTTAGTTGACTCGCTTGATCATTTAGGTATCTCATTTTACCAGCGCAGCATGCTAAAATCAATGTATTTGTTGGCCTTCCATGCCTTCTTAAGAGTGGGGGAAATAACTATCACATCTCGACATCACAGAGGTAATGTTTTGCTACTGGAAAATGTTAAGCTTGTTCGAGACGAATCAAACACACTAGAAGGCCTAGAAATAAGACCTGATTCTTTCAAGCACAGTTCTGGCCGACATATTCCCACCTTGTTTCTACAGGCTAGTAATTCCGATGAAGGGCTCTGTCCAGTGCAAGCACTATTGTCATTTATTACACTAAGGGGTCAAGTCATGGGTCCCCTTTTTTCTTACCCTGATGGTCATGGAATCCAAAGGCAACAATTTACAAACTTTCTACAAATGTCTTTAAAGTGGTTGGGTCTCGATTCTAAACTCTATAAAACTCATAGTTTTCGAATTGGTGCGGCAACGTCAGCGGCCGAAATGGGTATTTCAGATGAAAAGATTAAACAGATGGGACGATGGCATTCCGACGCATACAAGAAATACATACGCATACCTGTTTTGAAAATCTAAATATTTTCTGCAGTAAGTATAATCATGGGGACAGGGGCCTCTGATTATGCACTAAATATCAACACATACTACGATCAGCTGGTTTTTGGACATAGCGAATATAAGTTTCCAGATTTATATTTAATTTCCCTTTATAGCATGGACTGTTTTGAATTTTAAACCTAGGTCATGGGGACATGGGCCTCTGACTTAACCTTATAAATATAGCATGGAATGTTTTGATTTTCAAACTTGAGTCATGGGGACAGGGGCCTCTGACTTAACCTTACAAATAAAGGATGGACTGTTTTGATTTTTCGAACTTACACGTAAGTCATGGGGACAAGGGCCTCTGACTTAACCTAATGGAGGTACAACTGCGTTTATTTTTCTTCGACATTAAGTCACGGGGACATGGGCCTCTGACTTATTCGCCTGGTTGTGTTTATATAATGTATAATTTGTTTTTTTTATTCCGGTTGGCTGTAATAGTGATTTTAGAAACTTTGATGAAATATGACAGAGGATCGTGAACTTAATTATAACGTATTATGGACACTGCTGGTTAATGGAGCTTGAACTAGATCCTTCTATCACTTATAAAGGAGTATCTTGACCATCTTTGAAGAAACTGTGTGGTATTTATGTTTGTGCTTTAATATTAACAATTCATTAGAAGACAATAGTTTAAGGATGGGGTTTATTGCGTTTATGTAAACACAATAATGTGGCGAAATTTTATACCCCACCTTTGATATCTATTGAAACAAAATTGATTATATTTTCAATTGTTCAATTTTTCTGATTCTGCATTATATGTTTATATGCATGATATTTTGTGTTTTTTCATACAGTCATTTATAATGTAAATAAATGGCATTTTTCAATTCACTTAATCTTAATTTTGTTTCTTCATATCAAACAGAGTTAAACTATTGTCAGTGGGTTTACATAAATATTTAATTTACATCCTTAAATTAATTTATGTAAAACATCTGACACGGCAGACCCATGCTAGCAATTAAGTTTCTTAATCGCAAAATTTCTTATCCGTTAGATTAAAGCAATTCTCGAAGATCTTTCTGTAAATTGGTATGATTTATATTCTCGGCCGTCGGATGCTAAGATATGCGCGCGGGTTCTCACGCCTTTCACCATTCCCTCACAGAACCTTGTCAGTGAACGCGCAAACAAAAATTCTGCTGTAATTTTAATTGCCCTCCGTCCCGCCCCAACACCGTCTGTAATTATTGCCGTGTCAGCATAGTTATCTTTGATTGGTTTTGTATGATACATATTCTTTTAGAATAGTTTTTTATGTTTATGTTTTAATTTGCTAAAAATATGTACGATTGTGGTGTTTGCGAAATTTTATACCCCACCTTTGATATCTATTGAAACAAAATTGATTATATTTTCAATTGTTCAATTTTTCTGATTCTGCATTATATGTTTATATGCATGATATTTTGTGTTTTTTCATACAGTCATTTATAATGTAAATAAATGGCATTTTTCAATTCACTTAATCTTAATTTTGTTTCTTCATATCAAACAGAGTTAAACTATTGTCAGTGGGTTTACATAAATGAAATTTAAAAATGTCGGAAATGCAATGCATATTTCCGGAAATGAAATGCAGCGTCATTTTCTTTATAATGGGCTCACATAAAGGTACTTGTTTAGTACACGGGGCACCTCCTACTTATTCTTACCACAAGGTACTAAACACAGTCTCAGGCACCATGCACCGCTTTAAGTTATTATTTTGTTAGTATTTCGATCATTAACCTACTTTAAAAAGATATCGCTTTGGAAGACTCTTTCCTCTCAATTAAATCGTTTCAGACGTCTCTGGTCGAGCCTCTTTATTGTTAATTTACCACTCATTTATACCTCCAAAAATACCTCTATGCAAAATATGACTATATTAGATGGGATACAAAACTTCCGGCTGGGTTTATAAATGAACGATAAGACCACAGATTTCGCGGAATTGAATACATGAGTTTTTTTTAAAGAAACATTTAACCTTATGACATTGGCGTTTGAGCTTCTTTTGCAAAGATTATTATGATCTTTGCCAAAACTGTTGGTTTGTTGGTGCTATATAGTCTTCAAATTTCACTTATGCCATAGGAGTCGTAGATTTTGAGGCTTTTTGAGTTCACAGTGATATATACTGAAAGGCTAAAAGAAACGCAGGGTAGCATAATTGTCGATAAAAAGTTGACCACATGACCGAAAATTACGAAAATTGGTCAGATGGGAAATTTAGTTACTGTGCATCAAAATCAGTATTCAGAATTACTCAACCGTAAAATTAATGACGTCACGTAGGGAAAACGCTAAAATGCCCAAAACACGTGCAATTTGATAACGACGTGTTTGTCCACAAATCTTGTTGCCTTATTTGATGCATATGAGGTATGCACATCGTTTTTCAATATTAAGAGACATTATGAATTTATTGCAATCTTGGCACAGTTTACGGAAGTTCAATGGGGTCTTGTTTTCGAATTGCCTAATTAATGAAAAAGGCAACAACGGTTTACTAAGCAGTCTCTTGTAATTTTTCCCCCATAAAACCTTTTAGCCGTTGTCAGAGAGGGTCTGGAGTGGATTTCAATCAACCGTGACGCTGACGTTAACGCGAAACAGAGCCATGTTACGAGCGGGTTATTCTACCTGCCATCTCTGAAATCGCCACGTTACTACCACAAAAACTGCCATTTATAGTGTACACGATTATAATCATTACATTCATACGAAATTTGAAAGAAAACAATTCCGCAATTTGGTTTTTTGAGCCAGTCAACTTACTGTTGTATTCCTCTCACTGGCGCATGCGCGCGTCGTTTGACTTTTTTTTTGCGTGGTTACCCATGCTAAATATAGCCAGGGTTTGAAAGATAAACACTCTGATGAAATTCCATGCAAAGGAGAAATAAGACTCTGACAGATGCACGAGATAGACATTGAAGATAATGAGAGTTTTCGATTTTCCCTTTTGGGGGGTATCGATATTTGAGCTTCAATAACTCATGAATAATTACACAAAATCATATGAGAATTTGGTTAAATCTTTTTTAAAGATGATTTTAAAAGTTAGATAGGAAAACTAAAAAGTATTTCAAGCAAAACAAATTTAATTCACCTCAAAAGTTTACCCTGCGTTTCTTTTTCCCTTCAGTATATATCAATATATCCTGCAAGACTATATATTGTATATATAGATGTTTTGTATGGGAGCGTTCATTTAAGATCACATTCAGTCAGTGTACTTGTGTACATAGAATCAGAATGATTTTAATAGAATAATTTTATAGAAGACCTGCCCAACCAACAGTTATGTTAAATTTACGAGGGACAAACATTTTCTTGAGGAAGCAAGATATCTTTGTTTATCATCTAAATAGAATGTATACAAATGATTATACAGACATTTATTTAAATCATAATTATCAGTATCTCAGAACATTTTCCAATTCTAAATGAACGTGTCTTTTTCAGGATATATGTTAAGCATTCTGTGAGAGAGAGAGAGAGAGAGAGAGAGAGAGAGAGAGAGAGAGAGAGAGAGAGAGAGAGAGAGAGAGAGAGAGAGAGAGAGAGTGAGTGAGTGTATAATCGGCCTAAGTAACTTTGTGATAGCTATAGTCTGTCCATTTTTTTTTTAAGATGTCCATTCTATCTCTACCAGTAATTCTCCTAACTACTGCTCTATTTGTCGGTTTTCTGGCGATGTTTTGGTCACGTGATGACGGGAATCTCCCGCCCAGGGAACCGGGACGTCTGCTCGTGGGAAACGTAGACATCAAAACAGATGCTGCTATGCTATTGTATGTTTTTTCTTCTTTTTAATATCATATTTATAAAGCTATATACATGAAGCTATGAAAATGAATATTCTAAATATAATTTAATAAACTATAAAAAAAAATTGAAAATTGCAGTTTCAAATGAAACTTAATAGTAGTAGAGTAGTGTAAGTTAAGATACAATAAATATAGAAAGAGCAAGTAAACAAAGAAAGAGAGAATGTAAACATACATGTAGATAGAGAAAGTAAGCATACTTTACAAAGAGAAAGTAAGCATACTTTACAAAGAGAAAGTAATCATATGTGTAGAAAGAGAAAGCAAACATACATTTTAAAAAATCAAATGTTTTTGGACACAGAAGTTTATAATTTCAGCGACCTACAGAAGAAACACGGCGATCTGATAACGTTGAAGGTTTTTGGTCAGACTATTATTGTCGTCTGTGGTTATAACACAATCAAAGAAGTTCTAGTTAAGCATGGCGAATCAACGTCTGCCCATACTACATCGTTTGGATTTTCAGAATATTTTGAACTATCAGGTATGTGTAGCAAACTGTTTTGTTTAGATTTGGGTAATACATGTACTCAGTTTGCCGTTACAGTATATAATTCAATGAGAAATTTAGATTTTTTGCCCCTGAGTGTGGACAAATAATTCATTCAATAGAAGATAAAAAAATTAAAATCAAATTTTCTTTATTCATGCTAATTTTCATGCGATTTGCACTACAGAGGAGCCTTGTGTAAATAAATTTTCTGAACCATTAATAAAACCGGTTGTTATTTATTTATAGGTATCTTTGGGGCATCCGGAACAAAATGGAGGAATCAACGAAAATTTGGACACGAAACATTCCGATCTATTGACTCGGGGAGCAACAATCTCGAATCCCGGGTTTTAGAGGAACTACCCGACGTCTTCCAGGAAATAGACAAGATGAAGGGGACACCATTTGATGTAAGCAGGCTCATCAAAACAAGTCACTACAACATCATATCCTCTCTCCTTTTTGGACAAAGATTTGCCCACGACGATGCCACTCTCACAAGACTGGTGGATCTACTTGATGAAGTCAATAAAATAGTTCCTGAACAGTTAGCTTTAAACTTTATGGAATGGCTGAAGTACGTACCAGGGGATCCATTCAAAGTTAGAAGGAGACGATTCCTGGTTGATGAAATCTTCAAAATCGTTGAAAAGTCAGTTGACGAGCACAAAGAAACACTTGAAAATCCCAAGTCCGATGATTTTATCCATAGCTTTTTACAGGAGCAAGGAAAAAGGAAATTAAATAAAGAAAGCTTGGAAGGCTTTGCGGGTAATTAAGTATCTTGTTGCAATACATTTTTCCGACCTATGAAAAATACCAACCATCAATAATATGCCGTATCTGAATCTAGACAATGAGATACCATCGGGTTAAATTTATAGCCTCGTACATGTAATATCTAGACATGATCAAATGACATAGTTTCAAGCTTTTTGATTTCCTTCAGAAAAATGATTGCAAACACATTCGATCAAAGGAGTTTAAATAAATCTTGATGTAAATGTAAGTTAATTTTATTATCATCCAACAAAGTAAAATAAAAGTAAGCGTGTTTTTCAAACTTGTTCTAAAACGCAAAAACGTTTCAAATGTTATTGATAGGTGTAGTTAATATTCGTCAGTGTTGCACATTTTAGTATTTTACAATTATATATATAATTTATATTATACTTGTCCTGTTTCAGATAGGGACATCCTAATTTTGGGATATACATTATACTTCACCAGTGCCCCGGTCGTTGATGTGTTATATTGGTTCATTTTGTACCTTATGCACAACCAAGATGTAGTGGTACGCATGCGCAAAGAAATTCAAGAAAATGTTGGAACCAATAAGCCGGTTACCATGGCAGACCAAGAGAAGCTCCCCTACTGTCGTGCTGTTATGTATGAAGTCCTTCGGATGTGTTTCACCAAGGTGAATCTTTCGCCAACACACACATTCTCAGAGGACCTTACTGTCAATGGTTACACGCTACCAAAAGGTGCTTGGCTGATGGCGGCCTTGTGTACGGTCAACTTGGATCCGAACATTTTTCCGGAACCTGAAAAATTTAAACCAGAACGATTCATCAACGAAAACGGCCAGTTGTTTGGATATTAAAAGGTTTATGCATCCTTTTCAATGGGTATGATTTTCATTATCGATAATCGTTTCTTAATTTTTCACACATGAACATTTCTTTTCAAAAAATAGAAAATATCCCTTGTATATTCACATATTATTACTTCCATCATTTATCACTGTTATAACACGTAAGAGATTTTAAACTTCAAAGACAGTTCTATAAAGTTAAGTATCATAGTTAATCAAAGTATCAAACTTTCAGTATTTATTTAGTACATTTTATAATGTTAAACAACAAATATTTTAGGTCCTAGAGACTGTCTGGGCAAAAGTCTCGCTAAAATGGAAATGTTTCTTTTCCTAACAACACTAGTACGGGACTACGATATTGAAAACGAGGCGGGAAAACCCCTTCCGTCACTAGAAGGAACGTCTAAGGGATTTCGCGTTGCTGATCCCTATCAAGTTTGCTTGAAAAAGAAGGACTAAATTAGATGAAAAAAGGAAGAATTGTTTATTTTATTAGTATATTGTACGCAAAATTATGATCGATTTCTCTCTATACTTCATGCAGTTTATATAATTACGACATGAGACAAAAGAATGATGTAGAATTGTCGCCTGGAAATAAAAGGTGAATAAATATTTTTCTGAAAGAAATTCTTAAATTTTTTTTTACATGTATTATATATAAGAAATGTATATATGCCTTAAGCTCCTTAAAATCTAGCAATCACATTCATTGAAGATATCAATTATCTAACAAAATAGCACTATATTCATTTTCTTTATGTTTAAAACATTTCTATGATGTAATATATCCTTTGTGTTTTTGTACATTATATAGCATAATATATTTGGATATTTCAATTTCAATTCTTTATTGGCACTAAAGCACATATTTATATACAAAAATGTGTTGTTAGCCATATGCATGTATTGCAAAATATTATACTATTATAAGCTTGTTTCTAATATCAAAACAGTCTCTGATATATAAACAGACTTGTTTCGCAGGTATAAAGTTATGTGGATTAAGCAAACAAGATAAGTTATTAACATCTAGTAACCTTGAATACTTTTTTCTGACATTTTTATACACAGGACAATCAAGTAAAAAGTGTTTTTCATCTTCAACAATAAGTTTTACAATGGAAACAAAATCTATTTTCTCTAGGAATTACAGGATTTTAGTATGTACCTGTTTCTACGTACAACTTATGTGCACTTATTCTTAACTTGGAAAGATAAGAAAATAAATTCTTATGAAGTGGAAAACACAAGTATGGTTGGATTTCCAGTTTCTTAGCATCATAGTTGAATAATGTACTATAAAATGACAGCTTACCGCATTGACTATTGTTAATGTATTGGAGTTCAGAAAAAAAAATTATTTTCAAAGAAATTTTTAAGTTTAGGACTAAAAGTTTTAAAATTTGTGTCAAAGTTAAAATCTAACATCTTCTGTATTTATTTTACACAACTTTGCCAACATTTTTTATTTTCACTGGCCAATCGAGTATCTTTCAAGTAAGCATTCTTGAGTAAGACATTGCAATTATTATTTGTTTTTGTTAATTTTTCCAATCTGGAATAATATTTAAAAACAAGCGCGTAAATTTTGGTATGTACAGGGAAAACACCTAATTCAATTTTAGTTGCTAAATTTGATGCTTTATTATGGACACCTAAGATGTCTTTAAAGATAAAATTTTGGATTTTTTCAAAAGGAGTTTTATCAAAATTATTGGGATTTGTATTAAAATCAGAGATCCAAATTTCTGAAGAGTATGATAAAATGGGAACAATAATTGATTCATATAGCTTTAACCACAAGCTGGGAGAGAGATTTGAGCCAAAGGGTAGTTTATGCTTTAAGGCAAAATAAGCTTTTCGGGCTCTGGCAGCAAGGTCATCACAAGCATGTTTTAAATTGCCATTTGATTGTAAAAATATACCAAGATATTTGTACTTATCAGTAATACTTATATTATTATTGTTATAATAAAGTGCATAATATTTCTTTATTTTTCTGGTAGAGCAAATCATAACCTTTGTTTTTTCTAAGTTTACATGCAACTTCCATTCTATACAATATCTTGAAAGACTGTCTATACAATTTTGGAGACCTTCAGCTGACTCGGATAATAAAACAAGATCATCAGCAAAAAATAAGTGATTAAAAGTTAAATCACCTAAACATACAGGGTAGGTCATAACTTTATCAAAAAAATTTTCAAAGTCGTCAACAAAAATATTAAATAAAGTAGGACTTAAATTGTCCCCTTGTTAAACTCCTAATGTAGTATCAAAATATTTATAAACCGTACTTAAGTCACCTGTTATTGTACATTAAGTTGACAAAGCTGTCAATTCTTAATGCAATCGACAGAATTTTTCAACTTAATGTACTAATGTTAAAGTAAAGAAAATACAAAAAAACTCTAATTATTTTTTTGGACAACAACAGTAATGCAAAAATCTAATTCAAATGTATTTATAATTTAATACACAATTAGGCATAAATATCAAACATTTGCATTTGAAGTGTTCAACAATATTTTTCATCTTAGGAGATTACAAATCAAACGCGAAAAAGATGCCTAGAAATATGTAATATCCTGATAGTGAAATATTATAATTTTACATGCACATCCGAAAGTTTCTTTATTAATAAACACAGGCCTCATCTTTTTCACAACAGTTGTAAATGGATGCCGGCCGTGGTAGATCCATACCAGGAAGTTACAAAATATAATATATCCAACAGCAATTCAAAGTGTAATTTAAAAGATAAAGACATATTTCCTAACGAAATTATAATCTCACTAGATTCAATACAGGTGGAATCATTTCCGGGACACGGATCACACATTTCATACACTTGCCATCGCATGAACCCCCCACATTTCCATGAATTATTTCACTAAATCTCTGCTGCTGACCCGTTTTCTCTGCTATTAGCTGTTCGTCAATCCAATCTTCATACAAGCTGGTCGCAACTGTTTCTCTTAGAAACATATTTGTATAGTGTGCCTGCTTGTTCACAAAGATTTACGATAGTTTGGATCAAAACTTGAATGTCGACTGAAGAATTTGCATACCAAGGTTTCGACTTGTGTGCAATTCAGTGCATTTACCATCATTTGGCTTATATATTTTGACAGAGTTAAAAATATGCTTTCTCCATCTGATGAGAATGTCTTCACTCATGAAGCTTTATATGGGATATGGTCAGAAATCAAGCTAGCTATCTTTTAAATCTTAATTTACATGTACCCGGAACCGTCTATTATGTTGAATATTTTATTTTCACCCCTTTTCTTGCTGCATTTTTACACGTCACGCCCTCTCTGGACAATCAAGTGTTTTACATAATGTTAGAAATCAAATAATTTCGGTCAGTTTAATAAGTCAAAAATAAAAAAAAAATGTTTTAAGTAGGATAAAGTCCTCAAACTTCTGGCCTCAAACAATTCTTTCTCTCACAGAATAGACTGTTTTCGAACTTTCTCCTTTCCTTAAAAGATCTTTGAAAAAGGCAATGATGATAATATATTGATAGTATATTGTTTAACGTCCCTTTAGAAATTTTTTCACTGATATGAAGACGGGACCACTTTACGGAGGAGTACTACAAATTTTGTCCTATACTCGGCACTTAGGGCAATTGAGCAGGGAGGGATCTTTTTTAATTGTGCCAGCGCCTACTGCTCCAGGGGATCTCTGTGTTTATACAGTCTCATCCGCAGGACAGGTCTCCGCGTCCAACATTGAGATTCGAATCCGCGACGTAAGGATTAACTCTTTACATCGCGATACTAAAGCAGACGCTCTATAACCACTGCACCATGCAGGCGACTGGAATGGATACAATTATATATTTCTTGAATTTCAGTCCCTAAAAAGTTCTAATTTCCAATTTTGTGGGTTTGCTTACCATTTGTTCAACGTTTGTTCACCGTGCGTTTACAGCTTTGCGTTAACCAGACACTCGCTCGTTCAGCTCGTTCAGTTAGTAGAGTATGCCAGGGCATCAACAATAGTTGGAAGCATAGCATAATTTGCATAACGTGCGAAATCTATAATAAATGCATGAATTATTCCACATTTCCAAATATCGTTGATATCCATGGCTTACACTACTAAGTAGACAGTTATTCCTTACATTTCCATTTCATTGCGAAAAAATTGTAAATTTAAATTTTGAAAATTTCGTGTAATAGATCTAAATTACACGACGCCTCCCTTGTCAAAAGTCCCCGTTCACTGACGACAAACACAAAAACAACCACAGGAGATTTAAATAAGGAATAACTGTCATATATTTTTTTTTCATGACGATGATCAATCAATTGGCTTGCGTAGTGATTTTATGCATAAACGTCTTCGGTGAAAGGGGGAATGACTTTTCGTTTGAACAAAGTTACATAAGGGACCTCTGTTCCAGGTTGACCCACTGGTCCTGGAGAAAAAGATAACATTGTTAAACTAAACGAGAAGGACAACAGCGACAGGCACTGGACAAAGCTCACTTGAGACTTTGGATCAAAATGATGTAGCAACTGCTACATATACATTGTGAGATGGACAACAGCGACTGACACTGGACAAAGCTCACTTGAGCCTTTAGATGAAAATGATGTAGCAACTGCTACATATACATTGTATGTAAATGATAAAACGCCGGTTATTGATAGAAATGACATTTAGCATTGCAATGCAACACTTTATATCATTATAAATTATCATCAATGAATGAATTAATGAAATCATACTTTCATAATTCAGCGATTTAACATATTTATTAAGCGGATGGGGAAATCAACTTAAAATGCAATGTTTAAGGATATCCGATCCTAATCCAGGAAGGATAACTCAAGAAATTAAAATTTAATTTGAAACGAGTCAAAATGAAGCTTGAAGATAGAAATTGTTCATGCAACAATTTTCATTTTATTCATCTTTATAAGATTCAAGGTTTTTGGAAGTCTTAGAAAAGGGTGTTATAAAAGTTGACATTATTACCCTATTAAAGGAAAAAAAAAAACCTGTCAGTTCTATAGAAATAATATTTTCTTGAATCCAGCCTTTATCCACAGTATTTCTTTAAAGTTAAAGATTAACAATCTTTAACTTTAAAGAAATACTGTGGATAAATTTACATAACTTTGTAGATTCAGAGATACATGTACTTGAATTTTTATGACTATTTTTCATTACATTACTACTTATTTTATGAACCGGAGGATCGGACTACCTTAATAACATTGCATGTAAGCGATGCATTGCAATGCTTAATATTTCTATCCTTAAACGGTTTGTGCAATTTTCTCTCGACTCAAAGGATTTCTTGAAACTTTTCGTTTGGTTCCGGTGTAGTTATGCAAGTAGATATTCTTGTGAAAAATATAAAGTTTAAAAATATGAAATCATAGGTACAAAACATCATAAAAGATTTATTTTATTATATTTTTTTAAATGAACATTTTTATCAATCACAAACGTCCCCAAACAAGGACTTCTGCTGGAGATAGTACGTTTGTCCATCCCATGACGATCTGCAATTGTACATAACGGCCTACTGTATTCGATGGACACCAGATACCGATCCTTTGGCCAACATTTGTAGATCCCGTGAAATGTCCACAAAGATCCATGTCGTAAATGCTTTTGCCTACTCTTACGTCAAAGTCGTGAAGTTGGCCAGCTAACAAGATGAAAAATTAGAAGACATGTATGATATGATTATTTTTCTTTAGATATTGTATTTCTATATTTTCTAAATACATACTTCATTGATATACATGTATTGGATTATGCTAGGAATTATCGAAAGGTTCGTGGATTGGCACCGTGAATTTTGTAATTGAACCTTATAAAAATATATGGCTGATCAACATTTACGTACGTAGTATTTTTATGCCCCGTAATCGAAAATTCAAGGGTATGCATTAATTGCCCTGTCCGTCCGTTTGTCTGTACATATGTCTCATAACTTGAATGAGTGATACTATTGCTTTCATATATCACTGTTTGGGGGACCAACAATATTATTTTCTCCACTTGACCTTAGAGTTTAACTCACTTTAAAATGTACAAAAAATACCATACTTTAACCTTGGCCATAACTTTTGAACAGTTGCTACTAGAGCTTTGATACTTAACAATCTGCATTTACTAAGACAAGACTTGAGAATTCAATGGAATACAGTATGAAGGCTTTTCTTCGCCCTGTTACACTTGCTGACAATTTTCCCCCATTTTAAATTCGCCCAGTCACAGTTCTATTTAAGAATTTTTACTGTATGCTTTGAATTTGCCCCGTTTAAAATTCGACCACTTCTGACACGGGCGAAAGGGGCGAAAATCAAACGGGATAGAAAATTTACCTGTATTTAAGGAATGAAGCTTATTTCAACATATATTATACGATATAACATAACTTGGGGAAGTTTACGCTTTATAAACCGCGAAGCGGTTTATAAAAAAGCGTAAACTGCCCCAAGTATTGTTATTATATCGTATAATATAAGTTGCAATAAGCTTCATTCCTTATAATTAAATTTCAGTACAGACAATGAGATAATTTTCTCTCCAGAATACGGCTTCAAAATGATTAAATTTTAAGGGGGGACCTATGTCGTTCTACGTCAAAGCAGCGTTATGTGACGTCACAATAGCGACGTTGGTTTTTACCAACTGTGATGTAGGTTTAACATTGTTAATAATCAATTACATACACAATTTACAAAAAGAAAATTTATACATCATTAAAGCAGTTTTGTTTGAATTATGGAGTATGTTAATATAAGAATTCTCTTCCTTTGGTTGATAATAGCAATTTCAGTTGTGAAAAGATACCTCCATAATATACTGATAAAAGTACAAAAATTCAGCTAAGAAAGCGGCTTAAACCAAGGAAATATGTTTGAGTTTACGTTTTACATTCATCGTATTTTCTCGATAAAACTAAGGAAAAAAATATTTGTTTTCCACAAAATAGTTTTATATTCAGATGTTTGCCAGTGCTTCATACCTTTGTCTCAGTGCAGAAAGGTCAAATTTATGACACAAGGGTACGAAAATTTAAGGAAAACTTCATAATTCTCGTTTATTCATCATAAAGGTATACTTTTTTCTTTGAAAAAATAAAGAGATAATTCATTTCTTTCCAAAAATATAAATTACAACATTTTCACACAAAGACTTTTTAAGATATTACCTATTATGCATGTTGGAACTGTAAAAAATACGACAAGAAAAATGGAATAATACTTACATTGTACTCCATTATAATTTTTCATGCGAGATTAACTTCAATGAATTTACCTTTATTTTAAAGATACAAGTCAAATAATTTATATAGCTGTTGATTTGAAATGTGATATGACATTTTTGGTTCTTTTTAGCGCATATTCGGGGTAGAACCGAAATGTCTGAAAATAATCTATTTTTGGCATTTCACATTGTATTTTGCACGTGCCCCTGTGTAAAAATAAGCATATAAAGGTATTGTTTTTAATACCTAAAAATTAAGAGCAAGTGGCCATGAAAGAAATGTCAAAGTTTTGAAAATTTCACACAAAGATTTTTCGGACACAGGTCCCCCCTTAAAAGTGACGTCAAGCGGAGTAATACGTTTTTTGACATAACTCATTGTGACGTAGGCAAGTTATGTTATCCAAAAAGGATAAAATCTTTTATCCAATCAAATGGCGTGTTACAAGTAAAATTAAATTATTTAGTAAATAATTCTTACCCCTTTGACCTTTACTTTACAGTTTGAACAACTTTTTAAACAACTTTTTGCCTTGATCATAATTTATGAAAACTTAAACCTTTTGCTTTCAAATTTTATAGGTGTATTCCTCGTGCTAAGACTTTCTTTGGGTAACAGTAATTTGGACCTTGACCTTTTGTAAAACTTAAACCTTCTCCATAAGCTGCCATACGGGGGTATCAGTGTTTCACAAATACGTCCTGTTTTTGTCTAATATATATTTAAGAAATAAGGTATCATTTTTTGAGTTATATTGGGATGTAAAACCGGTTGGTCACGTGATCAAATCCCATAAAGCCCGAAGGGCTTTATGGAAGATTTGATCATGTGCCAACCGGTTTTACATCCCAATATAACTCAAAAAATGATACCTTATTTCTTATATTTACACTTGTTGCGATTTTTTGCCCACAACGCGTTTCCATACATTCCTGTTTTTTGACCTAGATAAGCGCTTCAGTCAAAATGGCGTAACAAAAAATAGTTCCAAGATATTGCAACTATTTATTTAACACTGATTAAAAAATAAACAGTTGTTTCAGTCACATAAACAATATTTTCGTAAAAAAGAAAAATTACATAGAGAATTAATGTGTATTTTACAAAATACGAATAAAAACTGTGCGGAATGTCACTACTTCCGTTGACGTGAAGAGGTCACAAGGCGTCTATTTGAAGTTGAAAACACACTAGTTGAAAACGGACTTGGAGAGGAAATCAGACGACATTCTGGTGCTCACAGAAGAACTAGCATCGAAAGAAGGATGATTTTCATTTGGAACAGGGGAGAAGGGCCTTTCTTGTTCACGAGGAGAGACGGAGAAAGAAGCAGATGGAGCTGACAACGTGGAGGCACTGCACGAAAGATTGGTGATGTTGTTGCTACTGCGGTTTTGATCAGGATTTGTCAGTAGAGAAAGGCAAGAGCTTACAGAGCGTTTTTGTTCATTGGACAAATCACGATTGTAGGTTTTTAAAGATGCTTCGCTGCGGTGCCCACTCATGAACATGATTTGTCGGGACTCGAAGCGATGATGGCTCATAGCAGTAATGGCCGTGGCTCTCAAGCAGTGAGGGGTGTAAGACTTCAGACATTTAGAAGACTTGCAAATATCAGACATGTATCCACTGAATGATCGCTTTGCCAAAGGTTTACATGTATACCATAAATCAGATCCAGAGTTGATTAGAGCTTCTTTAAAACATGTGTTAAAAAGACTTTTAGCATTGGGCTCTGTCTTGCTCATCAACAAGCGCAGCATCTGCACAGGGCAGATATCACTGCCAGGAACCTCGTAGATCCGCTTTCCGGCAGGAGCTTCATCTGATCCGATTCCTCCTTGGAAATTTTTTTGCTGAGTTTCATGCCGAAGTGTAATGTACTCTAATTTGTTCTCATCCTGGTGAAATTCAAAGGAATCCATCTGTAATTGATGATGAAACTCTAGGCCACGGGTAACTAAATGGATAGACAAATTGTACCAAACGCATTGGCGAAGTACAATTGGGGAATGTGGGGCCGAAAGAAAATACGAGGATATGCGTTCAAGGTCTTCATGATGAATTACTGATTTGTGCTTCGTAGCTCTTGATACACCAGTTTTTGTCATAGATTTTAGCATTCCATCTAAAGTGTAATTTGCCGTTTTGAATTCCTTGTCTCGGACAATATCTATCGATCTTCCTAAATCTTGAAGGTACCTGTTAATTGCAGCACGGAGGTTTTTTTAAGCTGTTCTTGTGATAATTCTCTGCCTGCGCAGCGGTTAACTCTGCAGCCCTTTTTGGAGTTGATTTGGGTTTGGCTTCGCAATAAAATTTCCGCAATTTCTCAGCAAGGATCTCAGAAGTGACAGTTTTGAAATCGAGAACATCAGAAAAGACCTCCAAGTGCCAATTTATAAATTGTAAAGGGAATTTATCTCAACAATTGATTTGGATTGCATTAATTTTTATTTTTCAATTTTTCTGTTTTTATTTTTTATTTTCTAAAACTTTTATTTTTTTTCTATTCTTTAGTTTGCATTTTTGGTTGATTCGTTACATTGATATGTTAGTAAATGGTATTTCCTTTCTGTATTTTGTTTGCTTGTGTGCTTGCTAGGCTGGTAGCCTAATAGTCCTATACATGTACATATTAATTCTCTACTGTACATTCATTTGTTTATAGACTGCAGAGAAAAAAATCTGGTATGCCTTTGCGCTGGTGAATGTATCGTTTTACTGTAAATATACTTGTAGAACATGCTTTTGTCTTATTTACAAGGATGTATTCATATCAGCAGTATTCATTTGTTTGATTTGTTCACTTTGTTTATAATTTATATTCCTTGTTTTGTTTATTGTTATTTTAAAGCAGTATTTATAAAATTATGTACCTTGAAAGAGTTTCACTCCCCATTGTGTATTTCGTTTTGTTGAGAGAGATTGTCTGGAATCTTCAAATTGTTTCAAATTTTCCTCAGACATGGACTTGAATCTCTTAGTAGGGGGGGGGGGGGGCAGGCATACCAGGGCTAGGAAGTCCCTCCATATCAGACATTTTTAGCTCCTTCTCGACCTCTTCAGTCTCTTCAACGCTTGCTGGAGCCATAAAAGGGAGATCCAGAGCGGCCATAATATCATTGTCAAACAGAAGATACAGCAATGGGTCATTATCGCAAAGGTCAAAATTGCCAAACTCGGCCATTGTTTTGGTAGGGGGGATGAAAGCAGACGTGTATTATGATAAATGAATAAGAACAGTGTTTTGTAATATAAAAGAATTTTGTTTTGAACAGATTTTATTCTATGTATTAAAATTATTTTGTTTTTAATTCGACGTTGTGTTTCAAAGCCTTTTATTCGAATTCAGCCGGGTTTGTTTACGTTCGTAGTAAAAGTAGTGACCCAGTTCTCAGAGGGTCAATGTATTCATGCGCGCTATTCTTCATGTGACCTCTTGACCCCAAACTTGTTTTATTGGGATGTAAAAACGCCCGACTCCAGTAATGTTATGTAGGACAAAACAATTGCAAGTGTAAATATTTAGTATTATCTATGTTTTTGTTATGGTATACCCATGTAAAGATCCTCAATATACTTCGTCTGTCTACAGCTATTTTCTAAAATTCGCAACTTCGTTGGTCTCTCCGATAAAACAAAAACAAAAAAATATAAAATAATAACAATCAACCACTACTTAAAAAAACATTGAAATAATGTAGTGGAACTTCTATATGTAGAGTTTGAAGATACGTTTAGTGATTCAATTCCACGCTTTTGAATGTTTTGTGGATGCATGCGTCCCGTTTTCTGACACCCAATCTGAAAAAATACATATTGAATACGTACCGCAACAGTACTTTCTAGCAAATACTTCTATTTCATGAATTGTGTAGTTCCTTCCAAGATCAATCCGAAGCCATGGTGTCTTTTCTATGTCAGTGTGAGAGTAGTCCGTAAGGAGGCCATTCACAGCCTTAGAGGCTGGAAATTCCCGGGTGTGATATTCCGAACTTTGATATGCTGGTTTTCCATACGCTACATTTCTAAGATCATTGTGGCCTACGGCAAATTTCATTATACATGTGAAAAATATAAACAAAGAGAGCAATATAGAGCGCGTCATTATTGCCTCACTGTCCCACATTCTCAATCTGATATGTTCATGTGAATCTCAATTTTCAGCTTAGTACAGAGTGTATTTGGATATCAAACTTAATAAAACATTGTGACAGATGTACATGTATCTAAAGATCACTTGTGTATAGGCTACGGATGAAAAAAAAAATAAATACAATGTGCTGACTGTTACCTTTTTTTAAAGCAAAGTCTTCTTGATCTTCCCCGTTTAATTAAGGATCATGACTAAAATTTTGTAGTTCGCAAAAATGTTAGAAACAATCAATGATCTTCTGTTTAATATTTACATGAAATAACCTTCATGATATGTTAAAATAAGCTCTTATTAACATAATATGTCGACACTTTACAAATTTTGCAAACATTATAAAACTACTTATGAATTTAAAATCATTGAACATGATGATACTTTTCGTTCGATACTTATTTATTCAAGATATATCCCCATGTATTTCATCTATATAGTAAGAGACTATAACATAATGAATTCGTGGTACGTGTCCTACGAAGGAGAGGGAAAAATAATTATAACTCATTCCTATTTCAAAATTTATAATATTTATCATTCAGGCAGACGAATATTTCAGCATATATAATTAACGTCATTCTTTGTCATTTTATGTTCAAAATCAAATAACTCTCTCTCTCTCTTTCTCTCTCTCTCCTACAGTGCTTACGGATGTATGTTTTTCTCCGTACCTATTTTCTATGATGTATCCTCAATATTTAAAACTGGATACCACCAATACATGTAACAGGTGGGTGTAATAAAAAATATAATCGCAACTCAAAATAACCTTTAAGGTCTTTCCACCCTCACAATTTTAATGGTTCAAAGTACAAAAACAGCATTTATTTTTACTTAACATAGTTTAAATTAACCTATTATTGCAAAAAATGTATAGGTTGCCATATTATTTAAGACGGGAGACATATATAAACAGAGGTACTAGCATACCGGAATATCAACATAAAAAATCGTTCATTTTTTTGTGAACAGTGGTATAAAGTAAAAACTGGTTCAAATGCATAATTCTGATGCTGAAAGTATACCTGCTACCTACGAGACACTTTTGAATTTTGAATATCAGGGAAACTATTTTACATTATAACTACAATATAGATACCTAAGAAGGAGTTATTGACTTTGTCAAAATTCTTAAAGATTGAATAATTGAATAAATAAAGAAAATAATTATTCATCTTTTAAATTCTTTTACTTAGCAATATTTATCATAACACTTACTGAAAACACACAACACGCCATCAAACACCGGGTGATCTAATTGTGGTTGTGTTAGAAAGTGTACATGGGGAAACGAGACGTTTTTTTTAAAATTAGTTCAGTAAAATAATGATACATGTAACATGTATAAAATCACTTCTAGGCTACTGAAATGAGCAGATAATGCTTATCTACCATTTCCGGGCTCTCGTGTTGGTTGCCTCGGGTGTGCCGTTGGTCCTGTTGAACATGCAGGGGGTCTGGCGGGTGTACAAGGTAATTTTGTCTTGGATCTCCTTGAGGAACCTACTCTCAACTATCCCATGCTCATATTTTTAATCAAACCGTCAGAGATTTGTTTAGTTACTAATTATTGATGTTTAAACATGCATTCTCTTTAATCATGTTTTGAAACTCTCTTGCTTTATGATACCATTTTCTGAAGAATAAGTTAATAAATTTTTAACAAATTTATAAAACATGAATAATATGTTTGCTATTTTCTTACTTAAATGTCTTCTGTTGAAACAATACTTAGCCGATGAACCTTGATTTTTTTTATGCATCGAAGACCTAGCACATGCTCATCAATGCTCATGTATTTATTACCGTAGAATCGTAATAATAAAACCTCACAATTTCGGGAAACGGGTTGCATTTTGTAGACACTTATAATTTCACACTAGAAAGCAATAAACTTCCTCCTCAATGATAACTGTGTTTATCTTTAAGGGATAAATCTGATTATTACTGGCGCAAAATGACAATCTACTTTCTAATGACCCTAGGTCCTATAGTTGAAAGTACATTTTATCCTCCTGCAGGACAAAATTCTTCTCAGTGAAGTATTTTACATTCTTTGTTGACTTAAACAATATTTGAAGAGTTTTATAAGTTCATATTATTGAATATTTTGACAATCTCGGCTGAACTTTGTCGATGTTCATCTTACGTTTCATTTCCACACTGTGCACAGAATATTGTATTCATACGATGTATAGAAATAATTGATTATATGAAGGCTTCAAAGAGAAATACTTTTAAGAAATCGTTATTTGAATTATGAGAATTAAACGTTCTTTTTTCCAAAAATTGTAATGTGTAAACTCATTCCTTTGTAGGCATAAATTTAACATAAAAGTGCGGACGTTTAATCCTATAATAGCTTGATACACATTTCTTTCAGTAGTGGTATGTAAAGGAAAACACATGCAAATGTGTAAATATTGTTGTATTAATGGAATATAATAGGATACAAATGAAAAAAAAATGGAAATTATATGGAAAATTATAGAACAAAAATTAAAAATATATATAACTATATAAATGACAAATCGAAAATCATAAAATACAAAATTCTACAAGATAAATTGATTATCATAGAATACAAGTAGAAAATTATATAATAGAAATAAAAAATATTTTATAAAATAAAAGACTAAACTAGATGCTGTCATGAGACAGTAATACCCGCACTAAGGTGTTTGCCTCTAAATACACGCTCCTACATACTGGGCGGCTTTCCAAGGAAAAAGTCAAAATTATTCTATATAATTTACATGTATTCATCAAATTGAGTATGAAATTCTCCCTGTGACCTATAACTCAGAACCTCTTATATTTATTTTACATGCTTAATTCATTATATACCAGTTTGAATTCTATTAATGATGTAAATTAGATTTTGAAATTCTCGGGTGTAATATTCCGAACTT